AATGTATGTATATATATATATATATACTGTAAATGAATATCAGGCTGAGTACAAGGAAAACAAAATGTCATTTTGGCAAAGTACAGTACAGAAGAAATGTAAGTGTGCAGTACACGCTGCAAGCAGTTATCTTATAAGAAGAAACTGATATTTATTGAGGAACCATGCAATTAGTGAAGCAATCTGGATGTTATTCAGCAATGTGTGCCGCACGGGGTGTCACCGCTACGTAACACAGATATCATTTGTAAACATGAGAACTTTTTATTTTATCATTAGGGAAGGTTTAAATTCCTCTGAGCTGGAAACTTTTAAGGACCTGTCTCTTGATTCCTGGGCACAACCCTTTCTGGAATGGTTCCCTGCTCTTCCTGTACATATATATATGCCACTCTAATGCCACACAAGTAAACAGCAGGCAGATCCTGAGAACAAAACATTCCTGTGCTTTGCTTATTTTTCTGCTTAAAAAAAACAATGAGGAACGAAGTCTGCTCCTTAGCGTTTGCCCGGGCGGTGTTTGCAGAATTTCTGGGCACTTTAATATTTCTCTTTTTGGGGTTAGGGTCTGCCCTGCGTTGGCCGGGGGCTCTGCCATCTGTTCTGCAGATCTCCATGGCTTTTGGCTTTTCCATTGGCACATTAGTACAAATATTTGGACATATCAGTGGGGCCCATATAAACCCGGCCGTCACTGTAGCCTTGCTGTTGGGGTCCCAGATTTCTATTCTACGCGCCCTTTTTTATATAGTCGCCCAGCTGGTAGGGGCAATTGCAGGAGCTGGCATCTTACATGCAGTAGCCCCAGCTAATATTCGTGGAAATCTGGCCATCAATTCGGTAAGTGCTATGTGTATGTGAGTGGAGGCATTATCTATCTATCTATCTATCTATCTATCTATCTATCTATCTATCTATCTATCTATCTATCTATCTATCTATCAATCTTTATCTATCCTATCTATCTATCTATCTATCTATTATTATCTATCCTATCTATCTATCTATCTATCTATCTATCTATCTATCTATGTATTGATCTATCTATCTATCTATCTATCTATCTATCTATCTATCTATCTATCTATCTATCTATAATCTATCTATCTATCTTTTGCTCAGTTATCTGCCTATCTATATTTTGTCTATCTATCTATCTATCTATCTATCTATCTATCTATCTTTATCTATCCTATCTATCTATCTATCTATCTATCTATCTATAATCTATCTATCTATCTATCTATCAATCTTTATCCTATCTATCTATCTATCTATCTATCTATCTATCTATCTATCTATCTATCATATATCTATCTATCTATCATATATCTATCTATCATATATCTATCTATCTATCAATCAATCAATCAATCAATCAATCAATCAATCAATCAATCTTTATCCTATTTATCTATCTATCTATCTATCTATCTATCTATCTATCTATCTATCTATCTATCTATCTATCTATCTATCTATCTATCTTTTGCCTTTCTTTCTTTCTTTCTTTCCTTCTTTTTGCCATTTCTTGTAGCAATCCCCAAGCAGACGTATATGCTGAAATAACTTTATTTTAAGTAAGTCATGGTCAGCCTGTTTGCACATTTTATCAGCAGTTTGCAGATTTTTTTTGCTACATTGTGTTTTCTTTCCTCATTTACTAACACACAGTATCTTATTAATACAAGCAATGCTCGGATGTGACCTGCTGCTTGTGGAGATCCCATGCAAGCCTATTCAGTAACACTATACTGTGCAATCTGCGGTCACCCATGGCAACCAAGTCCATGTCAGTTTGCTGTAGACACATTTGTAAGAAGATGATATGTAATTGGCTGCACATTGAACAGGGCATGCTGCTTTAATGTAGCCATCCTTGACATTAGTATCCCATGTGTAGATTCCATGTGTAGATGCCTCTGGATATGTCATCTCTTTCTTCTGTATCAACAGATACCTATGCCAACTGTACACCAATCTGTTTACATTCACTCAAATTAGCGTTTGTTAGGTAACCCTGCAGACGGAGCCCGTGTGATTCAGTTCACTTGGCCTTCTTTGATATCATCTAGATACAACATGAAGTGACAACATGAGAAGAATGTGAATAATATATTTATTTTCATGGATTAAAGCAGGGATTTTAATAAACCACCAGCACTCACAATTCCGATCAACAGTTTAGTTGGAATGGTCTCTCGGAGCCGGAATGTGATATCACGGCATTACATAACGCTCATAATTAAATAGCGTTTTGGCTCAGGATGCTGATAGGTAAAATACAAACTTAAAGGGGCAGTATCAGACCTAAATCACCGGTTGGTGAATGCATTTTTGTATGGCAAGTACAAAAGGGGGCTGCTGTATATAAAACTGGAGACAGGACAGTTCCAACTGTCATTTTTCTACTTGAGGTTGAAAAAGGAAAAGAAGAAAAGAAAGTTGTATACATAACCCTGTATTAGGCTTTTAAGCCCTCAGGGGCAGGGCCCTCCTTAAACATCTTTTCTTGAATTGTATTGTGATTGTAATGTCTTCCTTATATTGTAAAGCGCTGCGCAAACTGTTGGCGCTATATAAATCCCGTATAATAATAATTAGGCTGGCCATACACTAGGAGCCAATTTACACCAGTCGCTGTGCTAACCGCACAGCGGCTACTAGTGTGCACTGGCTGTCATAGTGCCAATGCGCTGATCCTGGCACATCGCCAGGATAAAAAAACTTTATTCAGTTGTCACAAGCGACATTTCATTCAGTTCTACAGGCACAGCGGGACGCGAGGAGTTTGTTCTACTTCACATGCCGCTGTGCTGAAAAAAAGTACAGCATGCCATACTTTTTTTCAGATGTAATCGGTAGAATGAGAGTGCCAGACCAGGAGATGTTTAGAGTCCAAAATGTTTTAATAACTCAACTGTTGATAATAAAAACAGTAGATAGCCAACTCCTTTTGGGGGCTTCAATTTCCCCCTTCATCAGGGTTGAATGGAAATAATAAAGATTTGGATGGACCCAAATGATGGCTTCTGGGCTGACTGCAATCACAGGTGAAAAGACCAATTGGTCAGTAGTAATGCCAGCAAGGACACCAAAAATGCAAAGAAAATTTGCCATTTGCTCCTGTACTTTTTTCAGAGCACAGTACGCGTTCCTGTTGCACAACAGCGGTGTGAACCGAGCCCGTCCATGACCAAGTAAATTGCTTGTATGGGGCTGTGCTGAAAACAAAGGCCAGTGCAGCCCCAACACACATGGCACGAATCGGCCCTCATGGATTTCTTATGTTCAGCCTCAGGATTTTCATCTCTCTATTTTAAAATAAAATTCTCACATTAGGAAGCAATTCATGACATTCTCAAATATGTATGCCGAAATTTTATATAATTACACAGAACTTTAATTATTTTTTATTGTATTGTAACATATGCTCTACAGCGAAGTGCAGCGTAGTGTTTAGGTAATCACCCTTTTCAAGCTTGGGAGAGGCTGGCTATAAAGATTACTACATAGAAAGTTACCGGTCTGTAACAAATGATTCCCCTTCCAATACTTATGCCTTGGAAGCGCTCATTCACTTCTTTCTCTTTTTTGTTGTTAAAGAATAACTTTGTATTTGGAAAAGTAAACCCTTGCAGTGGGGCTACCCTGCACTGCGAGGGTTAACTGCTCCTTTTTCTCTAGGGGCTCAAATAAAGAAGAAATACTCACCTGATCCTCTGTGTGACCACACCTCTGCTTTAGAATGTTAATACAAGTCTATTAGACGTGAGGACGCCGAGGGACGTTCCATGATGTCACAAGTCCTTATGTCACTGTTTGGGTATTCTGACAGCTGCCGGCACAGGCTGTCAGAATACATAAGCCCAGCAGGGGAGATTCGAAACAGGGTGTTTGGGGAAATCAAGTGTTTTCCCTTGTTCAGCCAGCATAAGTAGTAATAGAAAATGCATGCTATAGTGGAGGAGTTTGTTCAGTAAAAGTAGCTCATAGGAGGCCTAAAAATTACCTTGGACTTTGAATATTTAGGGCCAAGTCACAGGTCCACTTTAGAGCAAGAGAGGGCAGGAAACACATATAGTTAACCTTTGAGTCATTCCTGGTCACTTTGTTAGTGTGGCAAAGGTAAACCTGGTACTCCTGGGACACTTGGTACAAGGGCCAGGCTGAGGCAAAGACAAAAGCGGAACACACTATAGGTATTATGATGTAGGGGACACGGCTGAGATGGGAGTCTTGCCTACCTCAGTGCATCATTTGCTCTGTGCAGGACTGACCTATCAAACTGACAGCTGAATCCAGCAGATGACACTGGGAGAGTGCACCGCTCCGCTGTCAGTGTGACAGCCACACGTTCGGTAAACCCAGCACAGTGCCCAACTGTCATGGAGTTCTGAGTTCTGCACAGGGAATGACATACCATCCCTGTGTAGCCTGCAAGACTGAACTATCAGTTTGACAACTCAGATCCAGCTCTGAATTCATTCATGAATGACCTTTATGTGGAAATTATCAAAAACACACGCACATTTTAGCCCCTTAATAACCCTCAGTGAACCCTAATTAGTTTTTATTAACTGCCTCATTCCATTCTACACTTGGTATTTGTATGTAAAAATTTGCATTCATTCATGTTTGTAGCACCAAATTAAAACCAATATATATCTCTGCCAGAAATATGATTCTAGCTCATTTATAAAAGGGACAAATTGCAGAAGAGAATTTGTAGTTAAAGTGGACATTTACCCCCGCACTAAAAACCACATGGAGCTCTGCATGCTGATATGAAATCCTCTTACATTCCTTAACCCCTTCCCGACTGATGATGGGATTATAGGGTCACAATCGTTTAGTTAATTAACGACTGGTGACAGGATAATCTCCTCATGCAGTACAATATGCGCAGGTCTGCAGAGGCACCAGCATTCATTGAGTTACTGCTGTTGCTAGGTTCCTCAGGGGCCGAGGCAGACCCTCAACAGCAGATTAGGTAGTCACAGCATTATGATCACAGCGATAAGTAATCTCTGTGATTGCTGAGCCGTGACAGCCAAAGAGCCGGCAGCTGCGAGCCAGCTGAGTATTATAAACTGATACATAGCTTCTCTGAGGAGAACACTGTATTCTCCTTGGAGATACTAAGTATCAAAGCCCCTGTAAATAAAATAAAAAATAACCCCTTAGTGCCACCTAGTTTAACAAAAATTAAAAAAAACATAGAAATTAAGTTTTTACTTTTGTTTACATTTTCAAAAAGGACAAAATATTAAAAAAGTTAAAAAAGTTTTAAAAAAATACATTTAATAAAAAATTATAAACAAAATAAGAATGTATACATGCACATGTCACATCAAATCAAAGCCCATTTTGTCCTTTAAATAAGGGTATACAGGTGAAACTCGAATAATTAGAATATCGTGCAAAGTTCATTTATTTCACTAATGCAACTTAAAAGGTGAAACTAATATATGAGATAGACTCATTACATGCAAAGCAAGATAATTCAAGCTGTGATTTGTCATAATTGTGATGATTATGGCTTACAGCTCATGAAAACCCCAAGAACCCCAAATCCACAACCTCAAAAAAGTAGATTATTACATGCAATCAGTAAAACAAGGATTGTACATAGAACAATATCGGACCTCTGAAAAGTACAAGCATGCATATGTACTCAGTACTTGGTTTGGGCCCCTTTTGCAGCACTTACTGCAATTACTTTTGCACGATATTCTAATTATTCGAGTTTCACCTGTATAATATGTGTAGGTGCAATGAATGAGGAAGATGGAAATTATGGTTAAATAAACACATAGCAAAAATTGCAAAATTACCCCGGTCCCCAGGAACGAAAACAATTTCTGATGCTGTCACTAAGGGGTTAATTAAACACATTTTGTTTTTGCTTACAATTATTGTTTTTCTACTTCCACTCTTTGACATCCCAAGCTTTGGTACCAGAGGACCTTGTCCTGGCACTGCAGACCCCAGAGCTTTCAGCATGAGCCTTTTGTAAGCTTCATAATTTTATGTCAGAACTCACACTGCAATCTTTTGGGGGGCACCAGTGAGGCAGTGATGGTGACTCAACCTCCCCCCACCACCACCACCACCACCACCTTTAAGGGTGTAACTTTGTGACCACTATGAGGTCCAGATAATTACTATGAGTACAATTATTGTTCTCCAACACTAGAGGAATTGTGTTCAAGACAGATATTAGACAGACTGGAGGCCTCTTTAAATATTCCATTATTTTATCCATCATGTGTAGTTCCAGACCTGCACCCTTTTCTAAACTGAACCTGTTACTTTCATCTAAAAGGTCATAGTACAGCCTTCAGTTAAAGTGTTTCTCCAGTCATTTTTGGTTTGTTGGATAGAGTGGGGAAGGATTAGAACCCCTGTTAGATTTTTACTGCTACCTGGGCCCCCGTTACAGAGATTAGCCCTCAGTTCCCATCAGGGTAGCAACAGTATTACCAGACAGGAAGTGAGGGAAAATCTGCAACAGCAAACCAGACAGGAAAAATGATTTTAATTATTAGAGCAGAGGAAGGCTAGACCCCCAGTCAGCTGTGTATGGCTGTCTGGGTCCCTATTGCAGATTCTTCTATTGTTCCTATCTCCTAAAACCATCATCATTGTGACAATAAGTGATGGAAAATCTCTGTAATGGAGCCCCAGATAGCAGTAAAAACCTGAAAGAGATTATAATGTTGCTCCACTCTATTCAAAACTAAAAACAGCATTTGTGCTGGACATACACTTTAAGTAACAATTTAATGTATTCTCCACTTTCTAGATCCTAGAAAGTGATCTAGAAGTCCCTAATCCTGAAACCTACAGTCATTCCTTTTCTGGCTGCTGATAATATGTAGCACTTCCAGCTTTCTTTGTTACATGCATTCTCAAACATAGCCACTCTACATACAAGACTGTTACTATGAGCAGAAGCATGGCGTTAGTAAAATCTTGCTAAAAGATCATTGTGATATGTTGCATGAAGAGCGAATTACAGTTAATTATATCTGTGAAGGTTCTCATTTATCCTGGTCACGATATAGCTAGTAATAGTTAGTCACAGTCAAAACTGGATTTGTTCTGTCATTTTAAAGACTTTTTTTTACATAACTCTTCCAAGCCACTTCTTCAGTTCTAATGTCAGGAGGATACACCAACATTTATATCCACACAGGTAGCACAGAGCCCTTAATCCAATATAATGGAATGTGTCAAGGCAGATGTAGATGGTCAAGAACAGGATGGGAGGTGTGAAACATGTGTTACCATTCCGTTCTAGTTACATAATCCCATCCTTTGGTGTTATGGAGTCTATATAGGTGTTTATCCTTTGATTTACATGGCTAAAGGTTTTAATTGTGGTTGAATAGATGGAGCAGAGATGTTAAAATGGCATTGTATGTCGAAGGATAAATGGTGTCAGAGGCCACCACCTTTGTTCAGGGATAGTTGTTCCAGTTTGATGCAGATGGCCTTTCTTGCCTTTTTGGAACCAGTTGTCCTACAAAAGTGAACAGAAGAAATAATGCCTCTTGTGAACCAGTTGTCCTGAAGAAGTGAACTGGAGACCAGAAGAGGTGGCTTTCATAAGCTACGAAATGTCTTCAACTCTACAGACCAAGCCCAGTTGAATGTGACTAACTATTACTAGCTACAGTTAATTATACTTTACCCCCATAATAGTGTGGTTATGAACCGGTAGACATACGGCTGCATTATAGATGTTAGTATGATCAGTGGTAGACTAGGCAGACACCCAGTATAATTATGGACGTTCTCTCACCTGCAGGTCACCACGGGAAGCACAGGCTTGGCTCTTGTTGTGGAGCTGTTGCTAACCTTCCAGCTTGTACTCTGTATCTTTGCATCCACAGACAGCAGAAGGACTGACAATGTTGGATCACCAGCTTTGTCCATCGGACTTTCAGTGACCCTGGGACATCTTCTGGGGGTAAGAGATTGTAATAATGCTTGCAGCTTCATTTCTCTTCTGGGTTTAAAACAAGTAATGGTTTTATAAAGGGCATATGTTTCCTATTCAATATATATTTTATAATTAACAAGAGAGTTTATAATCAAAGCTTTGGTACATTTTAGACAGAGTATGATTGATTAGGACCCCTGATGCCCCTTTCACACGGGTGCCGTCCATTCCAATTAGCAGGGGATCCGTGCACGGAACTACTTTGTCATTTTTTTCCATCTTGCAATGGAGGAATAAAGTGAGCTTGCCAGACCCATGTTAGGTCTATGGGGAGTTGGATGTAAGCAGACTTGTGTTAATTTACATAAGATTACCTTTGATCCATCACAATCAGGTGCACCAAAACAGAAACTCTGTTCCATTTTTATTCCTGGACTTAGACAGAGTTGGGGGTAATCGGATGTAATAGAACGCACTTCTGTTTAGATCTGGCTGCTCATAGACTAACATTGGGCTTCAGATCAGATCTGCTTGAAAAACAGGTGTTGGTGATTATGCATGATTATGCATAACCAGCTCTGGCTGGCGCCCCACCCGTACCATCACTTGCCAAGAGCTGGCCAAGATGTCGGCCAGAGCGTCCCAGGTGGGGGGGCAGAAATGCATACTGCTGTACCTGCCGCTTCTCCACGTGAACCTAAGGCAACACTTTCAGGCTGACTCATTATAGAGACAGCCCTGGCCTTATGTATTAACCTCTGAGTTATATCACCAATCAGATTCAATATTTCAGGACAGGTCTCCTGCTGATTAATGGCTAAAGAGAAGTAACCCCAGTTAATACATAAGGCACAAAGGGTTTCTGTCACAAACAAAATAACTGTGGAAGAAGCATCGGATGAAAGCTGTCATCTTCTGAATATGACCCTCTTTATTTTCATTAGTTCTTCTCCTTGGCACAGTCCAGCAGTCAAAGAATGGCAAAAGCCAGTTCACATACTGTAGATATTGTGCTTCTTGGTAGGTTCCCGTTCATTGATGATAAAACATATATGCATTTTAAAGTGTAATTTTTCCAAACGTACCCGATGAACTTTATGCAGGCATCTGTGGTATTGTATAATAAAAGTGTTTATTTGTTCCAACAGATCTATTTCACAGGATGTTCCATGAACCCAGCTCGTTCCCTGGGACCTGCAGCCATTACTGGAATCTTCACAGATCAATGGGTGAGATTTATTTTTTACATACTACACCCTTTTTTTTTTTTATAAATCTTGAAATGAAATTTACTCTCCTGGGAGTAAAAAGATGACCTGATTGTCTTCTGATTGCTTTATGTTTGACTTTAATGTTTTCTGGTAAGAGCCCACATGTTACATAGAAGGTAAAGTTGAATAAAGACACAGGTTCATTTAGTTCAAACTGCATACTTATTTATTTATTACAGATATTTATATGGCACCAACAATTTACGCAGCTCTTTACATTGTGCACATTTCACACAGTAATAGTTATATAGTTTTAAGAATGTAAACTAACAAAATGTAACAGAAATACTATATACTTAATAAATTAATGCTTAATCCTGTTTTATAATAATTAACTAGATTTTTTTTATATAGCTAGCATAAGAACCTGAATATCTCTAAAAGAAGAACGCCAGGATTTCTTAAAATTAAAATCACACTAAACACAAGAGTTAGATCTTAAAAATGCATTCAAGTACCTTAACTATTAACAAAAGTGTATCTTATTTGTGTAACACTCGGCTGTAAAGCCTCACATTATCTCTGAATTGGTGCTGACACTGTCCTTCCTTCTGGAGGGCGCTACTTGTGTTCCCCATGGTCCCTGTGTATGTTGTAAAGTAGTCAGCACTCCAAGCTTGCTCCCCTGATGGACTACAATCTCATGTTTAGTTTATTAATTGAGTCTGTAGTTGTTAGAATACACATTATTGTATCTATTGCAACAACTCCTGCAGCATACATTTTCGGTCAGTAGATGGCAGTATTTATAAGTTCTGTTAAATCTATGGTATATACTCTGTTGTATTGAAAAAGGTAGAGAATAAAGCTGTGGCTTCCTTCCTGTTCTTATAAGCCATGTGCAGCATGCATATCTGACTGAGTGCATGTGTTTCTCTGTGAGGCTGTGCAAGACGTTCCAAAAGTAGTCCATTGCGGGAGGGAGCTTGGGAGTATGATTATTTATAGAACTCTATAGGCAACATGTATTTTATTGTTGTATGTGTCCTCGCTGGGGAGAATCAACATCTCCATTTGTCCTGGTGACAGCTGTCATTGAGGCTGAAAGTGATGTGGAATCAAACTTTTTAACACGAATAGAGGGGAAATCTTTCAATAGAGACATTTGTTATGGTGACAGCTGTCTAAGATGGAATTTTCTTCACTTTGGATAGATGTGTTCCTAATTCCTGTGGTGCCTAGAAGACAGGAAGTGAAGGAAAATCTCCTCAATGGGAGACAAATGGTAAACAATACAGTACAGAGTTTGGACTATTCCCTGCTCCATCCAACAATAAAATATTTACTTTAATGCGTCTCCTACTTGTTTTAAGAGCATCCAAAACAAACAGCAATGGCGTACATTGCTGCATCATCAATAACTTTATCCTTACAGATGAACACATTTATAATAATAATACAGACGGGGAACATCTATTATTAAATGGCTCATGATGAACAGATTATGACATACAGTACCATCCTGAAAAAGACTGCGTTATGGCCTTTTGGCCATGTGGCGTCCCCTGTAAATACAAGTTTAAAGACTGTTAAATATAAATGATCCCAGCATATTCAATGAAATATACACTTGCCCTTATTAAACTAATAATTTTCTTTATGACTTGTATTTAATTTATAATGAGGACTGTCATTATAATGATTCATACCTACAGCAAAGCGTTATTAACTTGACAACAATTTGCTTTTATGTTATTAAAATGTAACATGGGATGAGAATTATTACAATATAGAAACACAAGGTAAAGTATTGTTATAATATTTCAGAATGATCACATGGAGCTCTTAAAGTATCAATCTGCCCAATACTGATATTTTAGATCTTATAGACACTGAAGATTTAAACTACTTGATAATATCTTATGTATGATGGGTAATATATGCCCCCTTACTGGCTACATACTGTGGCATTGTGTGGCAATACCACTTTGTTAGGTGGCCTCAAAGTCACCCAGGCTTCTCAGCCATAGGGGGTGAGTGTCTCCAGGAAGAAATTACTTGTACCAGGAATTAACTGTCTTTTCAGTCCTTTCCTTGTTTTCTGGATCATAGTTGGGATCCTGGAGCCAGGAGATTTCTCAGAGCTCTGGGTGGGACGAAATCCCCATTCCTGGGTCCATGGGTTAGTAGTGACCAGCACCTAATTGTGCACCTGTGTAAAACCCTCATGAAGAGTGTGCTGGGATGTGTTCAGGGCCCCACCTGTGAGTCAGGAGAACTCCACCCAGGAGTCAGAGTGGAAGCCAGTGCAGCAGGGAGCTGCGGGTTTGTGGAGCTTATTGTGAGGGTTGGCACGTTATTGAGGTTGTCTGAAGGAACCAGGCAGCGGCCCTGAGTAATGAGGCTGGAGCCACAGTGCTGCAACAGACAAACTATTTTATGTTGGACTTCCTTTATTGTCTGCCTTTTGAAAGAAAAATAAAGGCTTTTTGTTAATGGAAAAACGCTGTGCAAGTGCTCTGTGTGCTCCCCAAAATTACAATACTTACATCTATTTCCCTGTAATAGAAAGGTTCTTAACCATATTGTAACTGCAATACAGCATTCAAGTATTTATGCACAATGCGCTGTATTGTGAGAATGTTAATTGAAATGACCCTGTCACTAAGAAAATTGTACGGAACATCAAATATTTTAATCGCAGTGTTTCCTTTACATAAATAATTTGTACTCACTTGCGATGTGCCACTGAACTTGCTAGAAATGTTGAATACTCCAGTTAGAGTCAATTCCCACCAGGGCCGTAGGAAGAGCGAGGTGAGTGAGGCACTCGCCTTGAGCACAGCTATGGGGGGGCCCAGCCAGGGCCTGCCTAGCTGTGTCTCCTCACCCCTGTTGCCATGGCGAGCACAGGAGCGCCAGGCAGCCAACTCCTTTTATGTAGCTGACGGGGAAGGAGCGAAATGGAGTACTATAGAGTGTCACTTGAGTGAGAGCTCTCAGTCTGCTGGGAATGCAGACATCCAAGATGGTGCCATCTCAGGGCATTTAGATGTCTACACGAGTAAATAACAGACATAGCATATACTAAATGCACATATAACCTTAGACCGCAATGTCAAATTGACAAAATAGTCATAGAGGTATAGTAGAGTTAAAGTGAATGTAATGAACCTCTTTTACTTGGTCTCTTTTGGTCTGTTAAATATGCCATTGAAAGCGTTTTGTTATATGTGATTGATTAGTGAAAAAGAATACCAGTTGATCCTGCCAGAAATCTTGGAAGCTGATAATTGAATGTGCTCTCTGCATGTACTGAATGCAATTAGTTACATTGTTCTCAGAAATATCTGAGGACTACAGAACTCCTCCACTCTCTGCTATGGAGAAAATTAGGAGGTTTCTGTAAGCCTGTTCTGTTTCTGTTGTCCTGATACGGAAGGGTGAGTGAGTGTTGTCACCCTAGGACAGGAAGTGTGTTACTGGCAGGATCACCGGGTTCAAATAAAGTAGAAATGTCTGAAAAATTGAAACAAATGCAGCCACCCCATTTTAGTATTGGTAAGATGCAATATATTATTTTTTGATTTAGGGTTCAATACACTTTCATTGATGTTGCTGTATTTGGTCTGGGCATCCAAACTTCAATGACCTTTGGTCATGGCAAAATTTACCAGCAAGCACCACAACATTGGCTGCAAATAGTCACATGACATTCGATGCCACAGTTCTTGCCATTAGAGTAGATGTAGATGCAAGGCACTGGACCCACATGGTTCTCTGCACAAAACAGGGGCCTTACCAATAGAGGGGTCACTCGGCTTGAGAAATCCACACGTGGCTGAGCCAAACACATGTATGTAGTCCAGAACTGTATTTTATTAATCCACAGAGGTACAGAGGTAACAGAAAACAGCCAGCATGTTTTAGGGGCCAAACTACCCCCTTCATCAGTGCTAATCAAGGAAACAACAACCAAATAATATTCATAAGAGATATACATAGGGAATTATAAATAAATAATAGTATGATACTTTAAGATTATATTCTTATAATTTCCTGTGCATATCTCTTACGCATATTATTTGGCTGTTGTGTCTCCTTTAGACCTAATCAAGGGGGATTGTTGGGCCCCTGAAATACACTGGCTATTCTCCTCTGTTAGCTTTGTGACATCCATGGATTAATAAAATATAGTTCTAAACTCTTACTCTTGATACATGTGATTGACTCATCTACATGGTTCAACTATATTTGGCTTTCTCAAGCCGCATGACTCCTATATTGGCAAGACTCCTGTGTTGTGGAGAGAAGTCAGGCAATTTGGGCCTAATAAATGTCTGTGTTTGGTGTTCTCTCTGGTTCATGTACATTTCATACACAAGAATATGTCTAATATATATATATATATAAAGATTGCATGTTTTAGGGCTAATATTAATTAATTGCCATATTTCTGCAGGTGTTTTGGGTTGGACCCCTTGTCGGTGGTATTTTGGCTTCTCTCACATACAACTTTGTCTTATTCCCACACAACAAGAGTTTGGCTGACAGGATCGCCATCTTGAAAGGAACATATGAGCCTGAGGAGGAATGTTGGGAAAATAAGCCAGAAAACAAGAGGCAGTCGGTGGAGCTGTACTCTGCTCATCCTCTCCCCAAGACTCCAGAGAAATTCTAGACTTGTAGGACTTTAAACTTTAAACCAACAAACCCCATTATTTATGCCTGCAAAATCTGAAGCAAAGGAAGTTCATATAAATATTCTGTATTGTCAGTTCTCTACAAAATTGAATACACTGTAAATATACTTATGTTTCATAGTACTTTAAAGCATTGTCTTGTCTTGTAAAGCAAACATAATACGTCAGGTTCCATTACATCTGATGCGGTGCAGGCAGTCAGTGCTATCAATGATGCTGGCTATACAGGTATCAATTCAGCAAACAATTCAGCTCACCCAAATCCTGCTTTGTGTTGGATCCAGTGATAGCCCTTTATTAATTCAGCATATAAACACAAGACCTTACGGTGATTAGACTCTACGTCATATTTGTTGTATATATTATGTCAGTCTGAGAATTTAAGCAAGTTCTATTTTTTATATTTACTTTATACTTGTATTATAAAGAGGCAAAAGCCAGGGTTGTATATGTCATAAGGTAATTGTTGGCCTATGCCTAGGGCAGCAAACAATTGTTTTATTTTCTTGCCTTGTCTGCTCACTTCTGGACACTTGTAGGTAAACTCATGGGTTTCAGAGAATTGTCACTAGACTCATAGTAGCGTAAGCTCCAAGCAGAATCTGGATTGTTGAACTGTACAGTGCAGTGGTAGGTCTACATATAAAGTAGAAATCATGCAGTAGAGCCTTCTAGAGTTAGTTTTCATGGAAACAATCAGGAGTTATATTTGAATGTTAAAAGAGTTGGAGTCAAGATGAACAATAAATGTTGTAAATTACACATTCCTAGAGCAAAGTAATCTCTATATACAGCCTAGAAGGAAAGCCAATTGGTTTTTCCCAAATAACAGCATGAAATTAGATGCATATGCAGTGCCACATAAAAAAACAGGAATCATCTTTCCTCAATTTGACTTAAAGCTGCCACAGTCTGAGTAGGAAAAAAAGCCTGTCCCCTGCCAGCATGTTGCAGAGTAAGACCTTTGCTTTCTGTGGGAAGGCAGTGGTCTATCTGCAAAGGTCCAACAGCTTTGCAATCAGTAATGCTCAGCCCCCCGGCGGATTGAAGAGCTCTGGTTCTCAAGGGGTGTTCCAGACCTCTGCTAAGGCTAGGGTCCCACTCTTGTTATTTTTTGGTTTTTTTAAGAAAATAAACTGTAAACATCTGCACCTAGTAGCACAAGTTTTGATGCACCCTGAATGCATCTAACTAAAGAAAAAGTTCAGCTGGGTTCAGTTTTAGTAGGTAATATTGGTCAATGCAAGAATTATGCAGAATAGAAAAGAATAATGCAGGTGTGCATTAAGCTGTCTAACCTTCTAGAGAAGATCAGCGGAAATTGACATTATTATTACTACATAGTATTTATATAGCGCCAACAGTTTGAGCAGCGCTTTACAATGTAAGGAAGACATTACAATTACAATACAATTCAAGACAGGTTGGTGAGGAGGGCCCTGCCCCTGAGGGCTTACAATCTAAAAGAGGAGGGGGAAATGATACATGAGGAGGTAGCTGTGGGGGGATTAATTATTTGAGAATGTGATGGTTCAGTGGTTAGGTTGAGGTTGGATAGGCTTCCTTGAAGAGATGAGTGTATAGGGAACGCCTAAAGACAGTCAGGGTGGGAGATAGACGGACAGGTTGGGGTAAAGAGTTCCAGAGGATGGGAGAGACTCTAGAGAAGTCCTGAAGGTGAGTATGGGAGGAGTTGACTAGGGAGCTGGAAAGCAGGAGGTCTAGGGAAGAGCGGAGTGGACAGTTAGGGTGATATTTTGAGGCAAGGTCTGAGATATAGCCAGGGGCAGAGTTGTGGATGGCTTTATAAGTTACTGTTAATATTTTGAATTTTATCCTCTGGGCGAGTGGAAGCCAGTGTAGTGATTGACAAAGGGGGGTTTCAGACACTGAGCGGTTGGTCAAGTGAATGAGTCTAGCAGCTGCATTCATGATAGACTGGAGGAGGGATATCCTGTGTAGTGGAAGGCCAATGAGGAGGGACATTACCTTTAGGTTCTATCACATAGAAAATATTGCTTCCGAATGTGGGCTACTGGTTTTTGCAGGCCCTCTAAAGTACATCCTCTTGAGAAAATAGAAAAAAACTATTTGCTGGGCTACCATCAAACCATACCTCGAACTCGATGGGCTTGTGCCTTTTTTTACCTGACTAACTATGTAAAATGACCGTTACCCAAAATGAACAATGAAAAATCTGTATAACATCTGATTGTGGAGGTTATTAGACAATTGTATACAGATTGTTTCCTTTAACCCTGTTTTTTTTTTTTTTTGGATAGAGTGAAGAGGGATTAGAATACCTCTCAGGTTTTTATTGTTATCTGTGTTCTCGTTGGGGAGATTTACCCTCACTTTTTGTCCTGGTGACCGTTATTGCTGAAAGTGAAAGAAAATCCCAAATATTGATTTGATATTCACCAGAAAAGCAACATATAGGAAATCTTCCAATTTTCTGGTCTTGTCCTGGTGACCCTACTGACCACCAGGGATTTTCCTTACTTTGGAGGGATTTCCTTTCTCTTCCTGTTGTGGCTATTGGCCAGGAAGTGAAGGGAAATCTACCTAATGGGACACAGATGGCAAACAAACTGCTGGCAGGGGTGATAACCCTTGTTTTGGCTTCAGTACTACTTTACCAGTTTTAGAATGCAGATGTTTTTATCTAGAGCATATTATATTAGTCTTGTATTTGCATTGAGTAGGGAGGGACCATGCCAATACATAATCAAAAAATGATGATAAGGTAATTCAGAAAGCAGCGATGATGTGCAAAGTGCAGGACACTATAGGAACAGTTTTAGCTTACTACAGATTAGCTATGATTGGTTGCTTATTGCACTTTGCACATTACTACAGCTTGTTGCACTGCCATATTGAACATAGTTGATGTCTAACCACCTATTGTATAACATAGAATGTATTCTGTAATATATAATGTAACCATTTGTTCCTGTGATGTCTTTCCATCCTCTAAAAACACTATGCACGATGTCTGGAACTTACAGTAACCAGTCAGATTTGTGCTATCTTTCTCTATATTTAATTGTCACATAACCCCATTTAAGGAGATCCCACCACCAAACCAATCATGCAACTATATAGTAGTATAAAATTGTATATAATTAATTTAACAAATACACTGAGTGGCCAGATTATTATGACCACCTGACGTTTGTAGGCAAATTAGCTATAATTTCGCGCTGAAGTTGCTAGAGGGCCAGACCATTATAAATAGGGAAGCAGGTTGTTTACCACGACAGTAGAAGTGATTTTTTTCTGAAGATACGGGTAAACAACGCAATTTAACAGCCTTTGAAAGTGGGATGATTGTTGGCGCTCTGAGCCATGGAACGAGTATCAGCAAAACAGCAGAATTCGTTAAATGTTCAAGAGCAGCCGAAAATCTGGGTCTGAACGTGCGAATTGTGGCCGTCAGTGACTAGTCAATGTTAGGGCAGAATGGAGAGTGGCACGACTGGTACAAGATAACAGAAGGGCAACAGTGCAGTGTCAGATTCCTCGCATCACCTTTCAACATCTCGTGGAGTCACGAGGCGGCCCAACGAAGTCATCTCGTGGAGTTATCTCGTGGCCCAACGAAGTACTGATGGGGTGGTCATAATAATCTGGCCACTCAGTGTATAAAATATCTAATCCTTGACACATAACACATATTAATATAACACATAGAAATTACACTCAGCTGGAGTGTGCAAAAAGATGGAGTATATTGTGAACCCCTTGGATATCCGAATTAGTTGTAAAGGGGCTCCATGATAATATCATAGAAAAACAGGGGTGACACACATGCCTCGTATTTATACACCAGAGGAAAAATCGGAAAAAAGGTGTATATATATATATATATATCCTGTAAGAGGGATTAATCTCACGATACTAATGTATGCAAGCCGTCGGGATCCAGTAACTGTCACAACTCTATGAGTGTGAAATGCTGATGACGAGATGGCTCAAAGTCTCCTGGATACATTATTATTATTATTATTATACAGGATTTATATAGCGCTAACAGTTTGCGCAGCGCTTTACAATATAAGGAAGACATTACAGTTACAATACAATACAAGATGGTAAGGAGGGCCCTGCCCCTGAGGGCTTATAATCTGAAAGAGGAGGGGGAAATGATACATAAGGAGGGAGCTGTGTGGGGATGAATTATTTGAGAATGTGAAGGTTCAGTGGTTAGGTCGAGGTGGGATACATAGTATTGAATTACACCAATTGTATCAATTGGATTGTAAACTCCACAAGGAGATTCTGAGCAGGTTCCAGGTAGAAAGTACAGCCGTACAATTGATAAGTATACGTATACTGGACTGGTGTCAGCAATGCCGTTGATACATTCAGCAATATCGGACAATGTCACTATATAGCGAAGTTCCGGTCAACTGCTATATTGTAAATAGTGGTGTCACATTGGAAACCCCCCATAGGTAGAAAGTAGCTTCGGAAAGGAGGGGTGTCCATAGCCGAGGTAATCCGCAAACAACACGCTAGTTCCTTAACGCGTTTCTCCCCAGCCGGGGCTTCGTCAGAAGGGTGTAGTTTCATAGAATGTATTCTGTAATATATAATGTAACCATTGGTTCCTGTCTTTCTATTCACTAAAAACACTATGCGCGATGTCTGGAACTTACAGTAACCAGTCAGATTTGTGCTATCTTTCTCTATATTTCTCGATATATACTATATTTATGGGTATAAGTACATAACCCTATGGGTTACTATAGGGGAAACTCTCTCTTTTCTACAATTTATATATAAAACATACCCTGCAGATAGTCATATTGTACCAGATGGCCTGTAGCTGTCACGTGAAGCCGATTTAATACGGAGATCAATAGGTAAGAGGCATCTTAAAATGAAATTGGTATTTGTCAATCTTGTCTTCTCAGTTGTGTGATGCCTATGTATGTCATATGGTGATGGTTCCCTTGTATGCCCTGTATTGGGGTTGATTCACCATAAAGTCTGAGAGATGCTGATTTGTTTTCTACATGTTTTTCAACAAGTGAAAATCTTGCTTCCCCTATTATTTCCATAGCGCAGTATATGCTTTTCATAAAAAGTCTAACTAAAAAGTTCTACCTGTCTTTTGCAGCTTCATTAGTTGTGAAGTTGTCCTCGGTATATGTATACCTAATTTAATTAAATGTAATTTATGTATATTTATGATGGAGTGTTTGAAAGTGCAATGTCAGCTGCTTTATGATTTACAAATACTGTTTGACTAAAGGCTGTTGTGAGTATATTTGTACTGTTCCTAAGAGAGAATTAAACTATCTACAAAGAAGTCTCGCTATTATTTACTATTCATGGGTCAGCAAGGGATCTAATAATGAACTTAAACCTCACTTATATAACATATTAGGAATAATGTCAAATATTTCTTAAATATTTCTAAATCAATACGCACACGCGCGCGCACGCACGCACACACACACACACAAATACACACGCACACACATCAGTCCTATGTGTCTAAAGTTATATTTTAGTTTTGGATGGAGTATGAAAGAGTTAGAACAGGAGAAGGCAACCTTGGTAGTCCAGCAGTGGTGAAACTATCATCTTACCTCTTCTTATGGGAGTCCTGCCTTTGGCTGTCAGTCTTGCAATGCCTCATGGGATTTGTAGATTCACAACAGCTGGAATGCTGAGTTTGCCTACCCCTGGGTTAGAACCCTGTTAAACTTTTATTGCTGTTGGGGTCACCACAGGGGAGATTCCACTCTCTGGCTTTATAACCATTGTCAACAGAACAGAAAGAAATGGGAAATCCAGTTGCCACTGGAACAGGTGGACAGGGAAATCTTCCTATACAGACACCTGTTTTGGTAACAACTGTCTAAAAGGTGATAACCACTCTTAATTCCGGAATTCCTGTTGTGTCTCAAACAGAAAAAAAAACCTGGAAAATGCTCTAATAATTCCCATTCTATACAAATCTAAAAACAAATGTTTTGGTTTATAATATACTTCAAAGCAACCCTGTACTAAAGCAACTGCCCAAACCCACAGCCTTGCTGCACACAACATTCTAGTGCTAATACTTGCCTTTCTCACTTCCTTCCAATGCTCCCATAACTACCAGTGCTCTGCTAAAGATTAAAGTCTTTGAGGAATGGGACTGTATGCTCCCATGCCCTCCCACAAAGCAGCTCTACAACATAGGTGCCAAGGGGGATGCATATTCGAGTAGGAGAATTGCCTGTCAGGAAGTTTAATTTTTAAACAGATCTTCAGAGGGTCAATAGTAGGGATTGGAGTAGCGGTCTGAAATAGGGGCTGTATAGGTATTAGAGGAAGCCTGCTCTACTTGGGAGTGGAGGTGTTGTTTTAGTGCAGGTCTGCTTTTGCACTGGCTTGTATTTAGTGCTGTCTCTCTCCTGCAGAGGTTCAACAACATTATATTACCTCTGATTCTCTCCATTGCAGTGCATAGGTATGTGAGCATGCCGGTGCTTCCACAATGCCATAAAGGCATTGTCAGGCAGGAGCAAGTGCCAGCAATGCCTACCGAATTACGGCTCTTACAGCTACTTCCCTCCTTCCAGTTTTACTTCAGCATTCAGAAACTGTGACATCAATAGTGCCTGCTCACCCTCCCGATAGGAAGAAGCACTGAGTAGGTCGCAGTGGTCATGTGATCAAACTAGATCTTAAAAAAGCATTTATAAGTATATAAGAGCAAGGCGTTGCTATGTGGGGGGGAACCAGCTATGTCCAAATTCTTTCTTATTCTTTAATAAAAGCATTACACACGAAATGCATTGAGACCTCTGTATAGAAGAATAAGCCACCAGCACACCTGAGGTCCACTTTATCATCCCATCTTTATCTTTATCAGATAAACATGGCATCACATACAAATGTAACGTTTTGGGACCTTGTGCCATCCCTTCATCAGGCAAAGATAGTATATCATATACTATTTTCAGTATCATATAGTAGGTAAGGTTGAATAAAGACACAGGTCCATCTAGTTCAACCTATGTATACGTGTGTGTGTGTGTGTGTGTGTGTGTGTGTGTGTGTGTGTGTCTGTATATGCTTGGCTCTAGTAGTTCCCATATCCTTGTATATTTAGTGAACCAAGAAACTCATCTAAAAGTTTCTTCAATTTATCAATGCCATCAGCGGATACCAGTGGCTGTGGAAGGGAAATCCACATTTTTACTACTCTCACAGTAAAAAAAAACCCTTGCAAAGTCTGAGATAAAGCCACCACTCTTCTAACCTCTTGTTTTGTCCTTGTGTCCTCAGTAGAGTTCTCAGTGTAAACATTTTATTCCGGATATTGTGGTCCACATTAATGATTTTGAAGATTTAAATTAGATCCCCCCTTAAACACTTTACTCTTTAATAAGGAGAACAAGTTTAATTTCTGGAGGCGATCTTCATAACACAGGCCTTCCATCACTTTTATTACTTGTGTAGCCTAAGCCCTAGATTTATATATTTAAATAATTTTTGGGGGTTTCTTTTGCTTTCTGATGTGCTGTGTACCTTGTACTCTATTTTTGCAGCCACTGACGCTTTTCACGTATACACATTTGCTTGGTAAAGTCTCCATGAAACGCGTCAGTGGTCTCAGTGCATCTCATGTGTTATGCTTTTATGAAAGAATAAAGACGGAGTTCGGACATAGCTGGTATGTGGTCATCCAATTTTCCCCTACAGTGGTTGTCAGTAATGAGATGGGCAAGCACATGGCTATAGCAGGCCAGCGTGGACTAACCTAGAGGGACACACTGCTTCTCATAGATATACTATTACTTCAGATGCTGTTTAT